CCGGGCCGCCACCCGCAAAGCCCTCCGTCGAGTCCCCTCTAAGTCTAGACCCCCGCGGGCAGAGCCCACCTGTCCCCTCCGCCCCTCCCTCCTTCGAATCCGATTGGTTCTTCGCACTGTCTGTTCTGCCGGGAACGCCCCTTCTCCTAGGAGACAGTTGCCCGGGCCCCACCCGCGATACACCTCCTGGTCCCAGCGCGGGTTCCCGCCCCTCCGGGCCCACTTGGGGCCTATCGGTACTCACCTGCCCTCCTCGCGCTCCAGCCAGGCCTCAGGTTTCCCCCTGGTAGCGCCCACCCGTCCATCCTCCTGGGTGGGACCTGGGCCTGGTGGTCCTGTCCCTCCCCACCTGCCTGCCTGCAGCGCACCGGGCTCCACGCTGGCAGCTCAGCCTCTCCTGTCTCCCCCACTTTGGCAGGACAGTTGCTGTGCGACTTGGACAGTGGAGGAGCGCCTCCCAAGTTTTCATCCAACTGCCATCCCCAAAGCCTCCACCCACCTCCCCTCAGAGAGGACGCTTGATGCCAGGCCCCTGAGATTGTCATTGACAAGCCCCTCTGGTCCCTCTGAGCTGAGCCAGCTGACCCATTTGCCCTCCTTTGCGGCTTTGATGCCTAGCCATGTCTGCCTCGTCCTCAGGCGGCTCCCCCAGGTACTGCCCCAGGTACTGCTCCAGGTACTGCCGTGTGGGGGGTGCCTCGGCCCTAGGGCAGGGAGAGGTGGTCAGGAGCCCCTGGGCTAGGCCCACCGGAAGTGTCCCTGGTCTGTGTCCTGAAGGTCCCGACCTGCCTATTTCAAAGTCGTCTTTGAAGGGGAGCAACAAGTAAATGTACACACACTTCGCAGCTCTGCAACCTGGCTCCTTCCTGGCAGCAGAGCTGCCCTTGTCTTAATGGGATACTAAGTTTGCAGACTGTTTGGGGGGAAGTTGGCTGTAAATAAATGATAAGATAGGAGGTGGATGTGCACTTAACAAGATGTCTGTGGAATCTGGGTGGTTTGATGGTCTTTCCCAAGGGCATTGGCTTTAAGTGACCAGATATAACTCTGTGTGTGTGTGTGTGTGTGTGTGTGTGTGTGTGTTGGTGAGGGGATCCTGCCTTCCCAGTTTTGGTATTAGGAGGGCTCAATCATCTTTGTGTTTTTTTGTTTTTGAGACAGGGTCTCACTATGTAGTTGAGACTGACCTGGAACTCAGTATGCAGACCAGGCTGGTCTCAAACTCACAGCGATCCTCCTGCCTCAGCCTCCCAAGTGCTGGGATTACAGGCGTGCGCTACCACCCCCGGCTTCAATCATCTTTTTAAGGTTTTATGTATATACAGCAACTTGTATACTGAAGTGCTCAGTTGTTATTGTAGTGGATTTCTTTTTCTTTCTTTGAAACAAGGTCTTACTATGTAGTTCAGGCTGGCCTTGAATTCACTATATATATAGCCAGTGGCTGGCCTAGAATTCATGGTGATCCTTCTGCCTCAGCTTCCCATGTGCTGGGATGACAGGTGGGTGCTACCATACCTGGCTTTTTTTTTTTTTTTTTTTTTTTTTTCT